ATTATCCGTGTGCGATATTTTCCCCGCAACACGTGTATTGTGTTTTGATGGCTCTATATTTTGGTTCTTGGCCTCGTTCTTGGCCCGAGAGATGACTGCATTGTGTCCGCTGATTTCGCCATATCTCTGGTCGAGTTTATTAATTCGCTTGGGATTATATTTTGGGGCCTTAAAACGACTTGGTTTCTTCCCGCTCCCATTTCCTAAGACGCCTTCTGCCGAGGCCGCTGCGACGACCTGCTCGCGGAGTAAACATGGGGCTGAAGGGTCAGAGCGAGGCAAGAAGGGGCGAGGGGGGCCGCGGGGTCTCTGCGGCGGAGCCTCACTAGCCAATGAAGTAGAGGGGGTGGGCGGGGAGCGGGTGCTTCCGGATCAGCGGACGGGTCGGGAAATTCAATCAGGGCCGACTATAACTTCATTAGGCTTTGGAACTCATGTGTGAATCCTGGTGGGTGAGGGCCGGCGGGGCCGCTGGCGGGGCGGGTCGCAGGGGTCCAATCCTGGCCCGCGGGAGCGAACGTGGTGTGGTATAGAGATACACGGAGAGATATCGGAAACATGTTTAGTGATAGTACATGCCGACATGCGAGAGTGTATGGAACTGTGCCATTTATTGAGAGAATGGAAACGAGTTTTCAACGTTTTCCGCAGTTTTTCATCTTCGACGAAAATGTGTGTCATGTGTCGGGTGTCGGTCGGCGCTAGATCCGCTTTGAGCGAGGGTCCAGCCAGACCCTAAAGGGTACAGTAGCGGCACTGTGGAGGTGCCATTTCCTTTGTTGCTCTGCTCCCAAGATCTCCAGGCCCAAATTGGAACATCCTTCCCACCCTATCTCGTTGCGTACATATACGCCAACCCCCTTCATATTCTGTATTGTGTGTGGGAAGGGGGGTGGAATTGCAGGGACTTGGGAGCAGACGGGGCGCTTGTGGGAATTACATGCTGCCTCGTTTCGGATATCTTAGATTCAAGAGGCACTAAACTTGAATGTTTCTTCACAGGTATATTACCTGCGCGTATTAGTGTACACTCGAGTTTTTGGCTAATCAGTGCAAATGCATTCAGTCGGTGGTTTTGGGTCGTGGTCGTCGTACTTCGCTGCCTCCTGGGGGTTGGCCCTCCCCATGCGGGGGAGAGGGGTGTGCGGCGGGTCGGCTCACGACACGACGGCCTGCCCCTCACACGTACACCCGGGGGGCACACGCTCGCACACGCACACACTCACACGGACACTCGCGCTGAGCAGCTTGCGGATCCGCCCGACACGTCTGCGGGCGTCTTAAATCTACTAGGACGGTCTTAAAGGCCTCCCCAAGCACCTCTCTGAGCGATGCTCCTCTCCGAGGATCCCTTTCACCCCCCGCATGTCTCCTCTCCCCTTCTCACTCTCCCCACCCTCCCCTGCCCGCCCACCACGCCCGGCTAGGGGCGCAGCAGTATGTGTGATCACCGCGTACGGGATTCTGTCGTTAAAATTATTGCCTCACCCGCGCCGTGCTCCCCCCCCCCCTTCATTCCCTGTCCAGCACTTCTCTGCCGAGCAGGTGGAAGATTCGAGGAGGGGGGGGGGCGTCTTGTGCGGCGCCCGAAATTAATCAAATCATCTGGTGCGACGACACACTGCCGCTGCCCGGGGCATGTGGTGCCCGTCGCGCCGCTCTGCCACCGCGGAGGCCGAACAGGCAGAGAGGGCCCCATTCCGAATTCATGCAGCGCCAAACTCATGAATGGCGCGGTTGTGTGCGTGGCTGTACACGTGCCTGGTACACGTGCAGGTCGATGAATAGGTCGCTAGGTGCTCCAATGTTGCTGCTGTGTAAACAGAGTGATTGTGTGTGTGTGTGTGTCGGACACGAGGAGGACCAGGGGAAAAATGGTGGTACGGAGCGATGATTGGGTGTTCTTTGTATAGTTTAAAACTTAAGACAGTTCGATTGGACTTGATAGGCAGCGCAGTTTTTGAGAAGGCCTACCCGCAGAATATTTCACCCCAACATATCGACAGGTGCGGCTGGCCTTGTGCGTCCGCTGTAAGACGCAGGCGGGCCGCCTTGGGAGAGTCCTATTTGCTTCGGACGACCTGCAATCTGTCTGGGACTGGCCGGGGGCCGGGACGGCCCTCGCCGTGTACGCACCCTTCTCGCGACCGGTGAATTATTGCGGGCGTCAGTTGGGCACGGGGGCGGCGAGGAACGGGTGGAACAGAGAGGTAGAGAGAGGCAAGGCAGGACTGGACGAGGGGGAAAGGGGTGACTACGGAGAGAGGGACGCGGCTGTCCGGGTCACATGTCGTCCCGGACGTGGTTAGCACACGTCCGCCCCCACCCCGTTCCTCCAGTTGGTGTGCGTCTTGGAAGTGGGTCGCTTTGAGGTGGCCGGGTGCTGGGCGGGGTGCGGGGTGTGGCGGTGGTAGGGGCTGGACGTGTTCAGATGTAAAGCAGGGAGAGGGGCGGTGGAGGTCCACGGGGAGATCGGAGGAGGTGAGAGATGTTCGCCGGAGATGCTGAAGGTCTGCCGGAGGCCAGCGCGCCGGGCTGCTGGGCCGGGCCGGGTCCACCGGGGAGGAAATGAACGCGTGTGCGTGCGCGCGTGCGCGCGCTGGTGCGTGGCGTGGGCTGGCCTGGGCCCCAGGGCGCCAAGCGCGCCCGGCAGCAGCCCGAGGAGCGCCGGTCTAAGGTGTCCCACCCTGACCCGGCCAGGACCCGGCCAGGACCCGGCGGGATCGTGTGTCAAATCCAAATCATGTGGGTAGGCGAGGTGCCCGGGGCTGCGGGGGGCGCGGGTGGAGCCACCTAGAGGCGACTGTCGAGGTGTGGCGGACCGTGTGGCGGGGCCCTGAACCCCCCGGGGGGTGCCCTGCTCCTGTTACCTGGAGTCTCCCGTCTCCAGGCCTCTGCCGCTGCCTCGCATGGCGCAAGGAGCGATAGCAGTTCCAACGCGACGAGAAACTCCAGCAGCTTCGACAACCATGATCTCTCTCTCTCTCTCTCTCTGGACAATGTGTGTCCGGTCCAAGTTGGCGAGAGCAGCGGGCTGCTCGGCGAGAGCGAGTTTGGAGTTTGGACTTAGCAGGGGCCGCCGCCGACTCATAACTCGTAATCCCCTTGATGAGAGCGGACCCATGTTCGCATGAGTCTCCCGCTCTCTCTCTCTCTCTCTTTCTCGCTCTCTCTCTCTCTCTCTCTCTCTCTCTCTGCTTATTGAATCACTAAGGAGTCGCCGCTGCAGACGCCGCCTCCGCCGCCCGCTGGACCATATCACCATATCACTTCTCGGGGGAAGGAGCAAGAAGGGGGAGGACTGACAAGACGAAAGGAAGGAGCGGGAGGAGGGGATGGGGAGAGGGGGAGGCGCCCATCAGGGGAGGGATAATGAACGGTGGCGAACTTGCATGGGGCGCGCGCGTGTGTGCGTGTGTGTCTGTGCAAGAGGTAGGGGAGAGTGCTGCTGTATGGATTCGGCATTCGTGAAGGAGGTGGGAGGGTCGGCGCCGGCCACCGCGCGCGAAGGAGCATAGAGACACAGAATGGGAGTGAGAGAGAGAGAGAGAGCGAGAGCTTGCTCACGGGGTGAAGAGAAAGGGAGCCGCTGGGGAGGTTCTGTTTATGCTGGGGCCAGTCCCTCATATGTGCCTTCCGCAGAGATAAGGAGCGGGGCGGAGGGGTGGCGGGTCTTGCGGCCAGCCTCGCAGCCCCCGTGGCCCGTTCTGTACCCTTGTCCGCACAAGTCCCTTTGGACCCTCCAGATGTTATACTGGACGGTTATCTGGATCGTGGCGGAGGAAGCGTAGCAATTGGCCCAATGTGCCCCCTGTACAGGACCCCTCCACCTCCACACGCCGCGGGCGACAGGGCAGCGATAGTTAAGACAAGGCCGGACGGACGGACGGGCGGACGCAGTTGACCGTACGTACGTGTGGTGGCGGCGGGCGGCCCTCTAGATTAGAGGGGCCGATATGCCGCGCCACGCCACGCCATTTGTCAGGGTAACGCGTCCGTCCCGGTCGGGCTCATGCCGGGCTCAGGCCCACCCAAACCGGTAGCCCCGGCATTACTCACATGGCACCGTCTCGCGGCCCCCACTGCGCACCAGCTGGGGCCGCCC